TGAGCCAACGCACAAGAAACGTATTGGTTACGGCCGTTACGGCGTTAAGGCGCGGGTCCAATGAAGATCCGTAAACCTAACCCTAACCGTAAGACCGTAACCGTAATAAATCGCCTCCTATCGTCTACAATGACAGCCCATAATCGTAACGAAACGTAACATAAAGAACCGTAAAATCCATAACGCAAATTCGTGTTTGCGTCGATTCTAACCTCTGTGTTAACTGTTACAAAGTGCAAAAATTTCGCTATAATGGATAATTTACCATGTTAGAAAAACAGTTCTTGTGGCTATTAACTTAATTGCGATAATTCTGCAGTTATTGCGGAAAAAGAAGAAAAAGATTAAACGAAAATATTGGGTTCGGCCAATGTTATTACAGCGGAAGCAAAAAAGCCATTTTCATACTCTCTTTCAGTTTATGAAAAACAATGACGATGAACAGTTTTTCTTCACAATTCGAAAGACTATCAGAATTAGTGCAAGAGTCTCTGATAAAAAGAAGTATTTGAGAGCCTCTGTCGCCGGAACATTGATTATGTATTACTTTGTAGTAAGTATATTTTGTAATACTTTCAATAATTTGTTGTGTTTTTTAAACTATTATAACACGAATATTTTATTTTATAGTTATCTTGCTCATGGTTGCAGTATGCAAACTGTTGCATGGAACTTTTATGTGTCAAAATCAACTGTGAGCAAAGTTATCCGTGACACTTGCAAGATTATATGGGACAAGTTATCGCCTATATGTTTGCCAAGACCTACTGCTGACGATTTCAGAAGGTACTCACGAGATTTCCAAGAGTTGCGGAATATGCCGAATTGTTTCGGGGCAATTGATGGAAAGCACATCGTTGTACAAGCTCCTTACAATACTGGGATCAGTTTCTTCAATTATAAAAAAAACATTCAGCATTGTGTTAATGGCAGTTTGTGATGCTAACTACATTTTTACTCTTGTTGATGTTGGTGCTTTTGATGGTTCACAAAGTGACGGAGGAGTCTTTAAAGAATCAGCTTTTGGAATAGGTCTTGATGACAACAAACTGGAAATACCTGACGATAGCTAGCTGCTTACCAGAAACCGACACAAAGTTTCCATATTATATGGTTGCAGAAGAAGGGTTTCCTTTGAAAAGCTATATTATGCGACCATATCCTGGAACTAAATTGGACAAGACACATAAAACTTTCAATTACCTTCTTTCTCGAGCACGTCGTGTTATCGAAAACTCTTTTGGCATTTTGGCCAGTCGTTGGCGAATCTTCCGATCAACAATTATTGCACATGTTGATACTGCAGAATGGATTGTGTGTGCAGGATTGTGCCTTCATAACTTCCTCCGGATGTCAGAATTAATCTCAAAATCAGAAAATGCTACGTACTGTCCTCCAAATTACGCTGATACATGGGACGACAATGGGAATGTCATATCTGGACAGTGGAGACAATGCGAAGAGAATATCATCTTTAGGAAATGAGAAGAATGGGAGCTAATAATGCTACACGCAAGAATGTTACCTTACGTGACACGCTTGCCGAGTACTCCAGAAGGCGCAGTTTCGTGGCAAGAAACATTATATTACGAGAGGATCATTTTAATTGTACAACTCGCGAAAATATTAACTATTCAGAACGACATATATTTTGCAAAATGTTTATTATTTTTTTATTTTAAATGATTCATTAAATAACAATCTTATTATGTATTTCACATTGTATCTTTATTAATAAACTTTGGATAACAGCTACATTAAAACTCTCTGTTATAATATACAATAGACATAACATAAATAAATATCTTAATTTGCTATTAGAACACATTTCTCAACAATTATAAACATATAACCTCACACCCGTTCTGAATGCAACTCTGAATCTAACCTCTCTTCGTTACCATAACCGCGGTCGTAAAAGTTCAAATTAACCAACTTTTACGGTTACGGTCTTACGGTTAGGGTTAGGTTTACGGATCTCCATTGGACCCGCGCCTTAGTGAACTTTGCTCTAATTAATTAAATTTCAATATAATCTCAATCCCAATCCGTAGTCTCATCACGGCTTAATAGGACCCCAGGACTTATGGGTGCTAATGATAAATGATGGTGCAGGATTTTATGCAGAGATAAAAAGATAATGCGGCGTGCTTCGTGTACTAATGGCGAATGAAAAATATATTCCATTTAGTGTAACTTATACAAGAATCGAGAATCAACATAGAGAGTATGCAATCGATTGATCAATCTAGAGCGAGTGTTGATTGCATGTATGCTACTATATAAATAAAATGAGTTTACTTTCTCAACATTCCCACATAAACGAATGTTATTTAGTAAAAAAAATCAGTCTTTTAATCCCATTTGCTTTCTGCATTCAAACTGCTTTGGCCCAAACAGTCCTTTGGTTATAGGGAGTCCGCTGTCATTTCCTCCGTTGGAATATATTTCACGTTTATGGTTCCTTCCTCGATGCATTCCCGTGTGAAGTGGTACCTGGTATCGATGTAATTTTCGAAAATTTTAAGATATCGGTCTATTTCTAATTTTATTATATTTTTCAGTCTTTTCTACTTCTATTTAATATATAATTCTTTAAGTCTTGGTTGATTAGATCCAGCTTTATAAAGATCATATGCGAAAGTCCATATATGGACCATGTAGCTTGAATTTCAAAAGTCAGTATCGATTTGACATTGTGTCAATTGTAAAACCCCACTTTTTTAATCGAGAGAGTATCGTGTAAGGAAGGTTGTGATTGATTTTGGCGATAATCGTTAAAGCGGTTCTTTTTTAATAAAATTTAGAATTTTGATAGAAATAATGTCCGTTTATGCTCTAACTTCCGTAATTTTTTAGATATCGGAATGCATTTTTTTTAATCGATAGAGTATCATGTAAGGAAGGTTGAGATTGAATTTGGCGATGATCGGTAAAGCGGTTCTTTTTTAATAAAATTTAGAATTTTGGTAGAAATGTTTGTGGTTGTTCTAACTTCCGCAAATTTTAAGATATCGGTCTATTTTTAATTTTATTATATTCTTCAGTCTTTTCTATTTCTATTTCATATATAATTCTTTAAGGCCGGTATTCATAGTCGGGTCTTATATCCAAGATCGTCTTGGAACCTGTAAATTTTATGAAAAAATTGGAAAAAAAATTGTGCAAATTAGAAATTTGCACTTGGCTTCACATCAAATTGAGATTTGCGATTTGGAAATTTGCACATAGCAAAGTCACAATTTTGATGAGAGAGAGTAGGAAATTAGCAAATTAAATCCACAACGTATTGCTACGCGCGAAAAGCTTCCTCTATGAGAAAGCCAAACTAAAAATTATGCATCTAATAAAATACAAAATTCCTTATATCTATGTATGTATTCCACGTCCATTGATGCGACCCGAGTCGGGTCGAGTAGCAAATCGAAAACGTCATAAGTCATACACTGTATCCTGCTGTGCTAGTAACTTGCACTTGCGACATGGGAAGCAAAACACGAGAAAAAGAGGCGTATCATTAATACACATTGTTGTGTCCCGCAGTGCAATAATTATTTGGGACAAAAGTGTCTGATTTACAGTAGTTCCGCCGGGGGCGCAACCGAATCTTCTCGTCGCCAATTATTTAAGACAGTCTTGAAATAAAATCTGACTATGAATACTGGCCTAAAATTATTAGTCACTTTTTAACACTGCCCAATATATCCTACAATATCCCAATAAAACCGCCAAAGCACATAACATGGCGTAGCGATATACGACGGTCGTAGTCCTCGACCTGACAAATCAGGATACGCCAAAGCTTGTGCGTTACTTACGTCCACGACTACGACTGTCATATGTGCTTTGGCCCATAGCGATCAAGTTAATATTAGAGTGGATAGAGGATACAATGAATCTAAAACGAAAATGTCAAATAAAGTTTTCGATTCGATAGTTAATATATAATATGGTTAATTATTGAAGCATGGCGGTATATTAAAATTCAGCGCGGTGTAGAGCCAATAGTGGCGTTGACTATGCGTTGTTAATTTATCATCACGCAGTTGGTCTTTCCTCGCACTGAATTTTAATGTACGTACCGTCGAGGCCATGCTTCAATAAAAAAATAACCATAATTAAATTACTATCACATCGAAAAGTTTGTAAGACATTTTCATCAGAGAATTTCATCTTTTATCCACTTTATTAACCGTAATCAGCAATATTGGGACACCTTTGTGTATATATATATATATGTATAATAAATTTCTGTAGAAGGGAATAACCTACTCCTACAAAACCTTCCAGACAGAGGAATCCTTTTTTAAGCGACATTTCAACAGCAACGGTTTCCTTAAAAATGTCGCTAGATTATATTGGCAACTTATCGGATTAAAATTCTAAGCGGAAACTGTTTCCATCACGTTGCCCTGTGGTTTCCGACAACCTATTATACTTTCGGTTCGTAAGAGGACAACTGTTGTCACGAAGGCTGCATTCGGAGAGCGTGCTATTAGCGCTATTGTATCATTCTATCTTTATCGCTTATTAAATGTAAAACAAGGATAGAATAAGCAAATAGCGCTAATAGCGCGCTCCCCGAATGCAGCCCAAGCTGCTCATAACTATTGGTGGCAATAAAAGTCGGCAATCCAATAGGCAAAATCGGAAACCACTTTCCTCAATATTGAAGGCAACTTAAGCAGAGAAGTTTTAAAACAAGATTTAGCATGCTATGCATGTTATTCTTTCATTACCACATTTTGATATTAAAAATATTACATCCAATAAGGTACAGTATGATTCTGTATTATAACATAATTGTAAAGCCAAAAATTGTTTTCTTAAAGAAAATCTATAATATTTTGGGATATATTTCCATAGGAAATTCTTGAAGATATGAAAGACCAGATTAATTCTAATAGAGCAAAAGGCTTAAGTGCTGGTCTACAACCTTGCTTTTAAAGGTATTTATGCTCTAAGCCGTAAGGAATTGACCAATCACAATCGAGTATTCTCCTCACATTCCATTGTGATTGGTCAATTTCTTACGACTTAGAGCTTAAATATCCTTTAAAGCAAAGTTGTAGACCAGCACTAATAAAAAAATGATAATGCAAAATAAAAAGGATATTTAAAGCAAAAGATCATATTTCTTGAAGTCATGTAAATGATGACAAATGTATCTACATTGCATTAAAGTTGTTTAATATACTAAAGTTCAATCTATTTTAAAACCAAAATTTTTATACATAAATCCAAATAATATCATTATTTATTAGCAATAATATAAAAGTAATAAATTTATGCTGACAAGTCAATATACTTTATGATAGCATTGAAACAGTACTTGCGCATTGTTGTAAAATATGTATATATATATATACACACACATATATATATATATATGTATGAATATATGTATGTGCGTGTGTGTGTGTGTGTGTGTGTGTGTGTGTGTGTGTGTGTGTGTGTG